AGAAAAAAAAAAAAAAAAAGAAAAAAAAAAAAAAAAATCATGACTCATACAAATATAAAATGAACATGTATCAATGTTTTCATTTCACTAAATTAGTGAGGGATCTGGTAAGATGTTATAATTGGTTCAAAGGAGAATTCAGAGTAGATGCATATATAGGCCCTCAGAAACTTTAAAATTAATTTTCTTAATGATGCAAAACTAGTTCCTCCACTGTGGGGGAAGGAAATTCATTGACCCTCTAAAGCCAAAATGCATTTGCACTTTTATAGGACAAAAATAATTTGCATTCATATCAATTATCTACAATTTAGAGAGTCTTAAGTGGCTCAAAGACATAGACTCAGAAAACCTGGAAGGATGTGCTAGATGACCCACTGAAGATACCAAATCATCTTTTGGTCCAATTTAAAGTATTTCACAATTTTCTCTCACAAAGTAAAGTTTATTCATTGTGGTTGATTGGTATCTCTCTTAAGTTTCTTTTATTCTACAGCTTTCCCTCCATCTCTCTCCACTCTCTCTTTTTTATTGTCACTTTTTGTTGAATAACTCTGGTCACTTGTCCTTTATTCCCACTACCTGGATTTACCAATTGTTATCTCCATGCTGTCTCTAACATGTTGCTCTGTCTGCAGGTTTCCTATAAATTGGCAGTTAGATCTAGAGTCTTGAGCAAATTCATGTTTAATTTTTCCAGAAAAGTCTTCTATCAGGGGGGTTCATAATGGTTGATTGTCTCTTGTTGATGAAAGCAGTTGAAGATCATTGCCTAAATCAATCAATCCATTAGATTGCAACAGGGTGATATTCCTTCTTCATTGACTGGCTGGAATTCTTCCATAAAGAGAAAATTTTCTTCATCATCTATTTAGTTATCATCAAAATAATGAGTTATTTCCTCACCATAGTCTTAAAACGACAAATGGGGACCTTTTTGTAGTACCATTATGAACCCGTGGATTTACATTTATTTCGTGTATTTTAATCACTCGAAATTATAGCCCATGCTGATGCTCAACTTGTCCCATCTTTGGTCAGCAGGACCTTCTTCTAGTTGGCTCCTGAGGGACCACACATCTCACAGACGAGGGCCTGAGTTCAGAGAGGTTGGGAGTTGCTGACAAAAGGGATCAGCTAGAAGGACACGGTGTTGGGATTCAAACACGGGTGTGTCTAGCAGGGTCCACTCAGATCACGGAAACCACGATTATTTGAACAATGAGAATTTCACACAAAGAATTGTCAACTAGGTCTAAAGTTGTTAACCAGGTACCCGAAAGGGTAAAATGAGGGTTTTAAATGATCAGGGAATTACCAACTACAGAAGGAGCTGTCACCCCTAGGGCTAAGGGAACAAAAGGAGGAGCTTAGAACTGGTAACTCAGAGCTCTAGGAGAAGGGCTGCTCAGCTGGTGCTGGTAGCTTGGAGGTGGGTGCACATTGGCCTGGGACCCAGGACTTCCGGAGAGGGGATGCTGGCTGCGTGTCCTGGTGTCTGAGATGGGGAAGTATGAAGTTTGTTCTGCAAGTGCTGGGAAAAACTGCCGACTGGATTCAGCTGCTGCTGTGGGATGGGCACGTGGCTGCTAAGGTGAAGACACGTGGCCAAGGCCACACTCACAGGAACCACACACTGACCGGAACTCCCCCGGCAGGCCCACCGGAAGCCCGCCAGAAACCCGCTGGAAGCCCACCGGAAGCCCACCGGAAAACTGCTGGAGGGACAGGAAGGAGCAGCCTTGAGGCCTCGGTTCGGCCCCCGTGTTGGCAGAGCTGTCGGGGGGAGCTGGAATGAGGGCTGCAGCGTGGCAACGTGAGCATCCTCGGCCGAGGGTAGACGGGGGGGTTTGGAGCTGGGAAGCGACGGCTGTGGGAAGTGTCTTCAACGACTGTGGGCTCATCGGGTCAGTCCGACGTCAGAGTCCGGGCCCTGCTCCTGTCCCTGGAATGGGGCCGAAGGTCTGAGCGGCGGGAGCAGCAGCAGGAAATAATACCTGGACGTCATTGGGTGTTCTGAGTTGACCCTTCCTGGTCTGGAGGCTGAGCCCTGGCTGCGTGTGTTCCCACAGGAACGAGCGGGGCTCCCGTGGGCCCGCCCCTCTACTGCGGCTGGCGGGGGACGGGGGTGGCTCCATGAGCTGCACTCTCCTCATGGAGTCAGGAGGTGGGCCCGGTCGTCGGTCCCTGCAGGTTTATATGGAGACATCAGATCTGCTGGTGTGAAACGGGGAGATGAGGGTTGGGTCTCCCTTAGAAGTGAGAGGAGAGCCCGGGTCTCCCCGGCAAAGTGGGTGAAGCAATGGGGGACTCTTGCCTGCCTGCAGGATGAATGAGGCTTCCATGTCTCAGTCCCGTGGGTGGACTGGCCTGGGATGGGCTGTGGCGTTCCCAGCCTCTTCTAAACCATCTCCCTGGAACATGCAGGACAGGAGCCCAAGTGGGCTGCATCTGAGGAGCAGGGCTAGCTCTGCCGGTCACAGAGGGCTCCAGCGTGATTGCCACTGGTTAGTGACCTGCCAGCCCCTCCCTCAGGTGCCATCCCAGGACTCTGACTCCAGAGTGGTGTCTGCTGAGAAGAGAAGCCATGGACCGTGGGCAGGCTCCATCCTGCTTCTGCTGCTGCAGCTGCTGCTAAGTGACGGATGTTCCTTGGTCCTCCCTCCTTCCCTCCACTGCTGGCCCATGTGCTGTTCTGCTCTCTTGTGGGAGCCTGGGTCTCTCCTGCTTCTCTCATATCCTTAGTGTATCTTCCTGCATGGCTGAGAGAAGGCTGGGGGTAAGAGACCCAGCCGTATGTGTCCATCGTTCCTCCAAGGGAGGCAGGAGGAGGAGGAATCAAGGAGAGCGGGAAGCTCCTCCAGTCGGGATGGCATCACCAAGCCAAGTCTGACCGGGGTGGTGATTTTATGGCTGGAGTGGAGACCCCACTCACTCTTACCTTTTGTTTCCCAGGGGCCCATGGGATGAGCTGCCTTCAGGTAAGGACAAGCCCTGGACATCCCAGCAAAGAGTCAAGGGTGGGGCGATATAAGGAAGTGTCAGGGTATAGGCTGAGAGGACAGATCCAATGACTGAAACCAGGGAGGGAGTGGCTTTCTGAGTGGGAAGAAAGCTAAAGTCCCTCACTTGCTGGTCCCTCTGCAGTGTGCAGCCACTCCAAGGATGTCGAGAAGATTGTGGGAGGCCAAGCTGCCCCAAAAGGACGTTGGCCATGGTAGGTTGGACTATGGCTGATCTCAAAAGGCCACATATGTGGGGACTCCATCATCCACCCACAGTGGGTGCTCACGGCTGCCCACTGCTTCCTCAGGTGAGTGAGGCCCGCGTGGCGGCAGCCACGTGTTCCTTGCCTCCCGCTCAGCAGCCACCCTCAGCAGGCTGGGTCTCTGTTCACCTCCTAGGTCTTTGAATCCCAGGCTCTAACATATTAGAGTCAGAGGGCTGACACTCTCTGTTTTGGAAGACAAGTTGGTCTTTGTGGCTGTGAGGAAGCTCCTTGTCCACCCTTCATACCAGCGGCACCAGGCATCCAGCAGAGATATCGCCCTGGTGAAGCTGGGCGTCACCTTGAGGCCCTCCCAGTTCACCCCCATCTGCCTCCCAGAACCGGGTGCCCCCCTTGTCACTGGGACTATGTGCTGGGTAACGGGCTGGGGGGCCACCCAGGAGAGAGGTAAGGGGGGATGTGTCCTCACCCAACCACTACTCTTGCCCAAGGAGGACCAACCCCTTGGGGATATGCCGAGGCCCTTGGCCCTGGGATCCCAGCCTGTGTGTGCCCTGCCTGAGACAGTTCTCTACCAAGGGCTGAATGTTCATCTTCTCTCCCTGAAGCTGGGAGATCTCAGGGCCAGGGACTGTGCCATCCAAACTGTAGGACTCCCCTCAGCCAAAGTGACCTCTCATGTTGGATTTTGGAGATTTTGTGCCAGTGTCCAAGATTCTGCCCATCGTTGGGATGAATAAGCCAAGGCTAAGAGGTCATGAGATTTACCCAGATTGCACAGCTCACAGGTGGAGGACATGGACTTTAACCCTGTTCCCTGACCCCATTGCCTCCTGGCTTTGGGTGGCAGGAGGGGCAGGGAGGACTGAGGAGGGGCAAGACCCAGGCGATAGTCCTCACAGGTGACAGGGAGGGGGCTGAGCTGGCAGGGAGGAGGCTGGAGGTGGACTCAGGTCAGGCCCTCCATCTGCTCCAGCCCTGGCGAATGTCCTTCAGGAGGTGGCCGTGCCCCTGTTGGACTCGCAGGAACGCGAGGAGATGTTCCATGTGGGAACACCCAGCCTGGCTGGATATCGCCTCATCCAGGATGACATGCTCTGCACCAGCTTTGTCGAGGGCAAGAAAGACTCCTGCCAGGTGACAGCAGCTTCCAGCCACCCCTTCTGATTTGTGGACTCCAGGCTCATCCTGTCCTGGGCTCTGTCCCCACATCCTACACCCCAGGGTCTCCAGGGGAACCAGAGTCCTTGCTCAGCCCCTGTGGCCTCAGCAGAGGATCTCCAAGGTGCATGGGACCCAGGAGTCTCCTCAATATCGGCCCCATGGGGCCCTCCCTCACCTACCCCAGGGTGACTCTGGGGGACCGCTGGTCTGCAGCAGCAACAATACGTGGATTCAGGTCGGGGTTGTGAGCTGGGGATTGGGCTGTGCTCAGGCACACTGGCCTGGTGTCTACACCCGTGTGCCAACCTACACAGACTGGATTTGGAGAACCCTGACTGAAGCCTCCTCAGATACCTCTGGGTCCCCTTCAGATGCCTCTGAGTCCCCCTCTGGTGCTGCCGGGTCCCCCTCAGGTGCTGAATCACCCCCAGGGGCCTCTGGGTCTCCCTCAGGTGCCTCTGAGTCCCTTTCTGGCACTGCCAGGTCCCCCTCAGGTGTCAGGTCCCCCTCAGGGGCCTCTTGGTCCCCCTCAGGCATCTCTGGGTCTCCCTCAGGCACCTGTGGGTTCCACCCAGTGCTGCTGTTTGGGCTGTTGACCTTTACCCTTGCCTGGGGCTCTGTGAAGTGTGATCGATGGAGTCCAGGATCCCCCTTGTGGTAGGGTTGTTGAATCTAATAATAAAAGATGTAGTCTTTTACATGTCTTTGCTTTTCTCTCTCATTTTTTTTTTTTTTTAGTAATTCATTTTTATTGTATTTTACAAAAGTATCTGACTGTGGTAGATTGGAAAAAAATAGTTCTTCTCTGCAGAAAGTTCAAGAAACCCTGCCCTGGACAGTTTGACTTGTGTTTCTCCTGTATGTCTTCACAGTCAGGGTCACCCTCCTGGCTTGCTCAGGACAGTTGTGGAGATGCCTCTCCTGTGTGGTTATTCATAGAGCTCCCTGTCATTCTCAAAAGTGTCCCCAAAGTTGGATAATGAGGTATATAGTAATCATGACTCAGCTGAAGGGGAGCAAATATAGTTTATTAATTTTCTCAACCCTCATTAGTTCTTAGATGAGACACTCTCCTGTGGAGTATATATAAAGCAAATGTATTTCACAGGGCCTGGTTTTCCAAAGCCTTGCAGTTTCAAATGTTAACCTTGAAAAGGACAGGAAATTTTCCCCAGGCTATAGTCTCTGTCATAAGATAAGGAATTGTAACATAGCAAGGTTGCTGGTTCAAAGACAGACAGGTTACTGATTGATATGTAAAGATACAGGGAAATTGCTGTAAGAAGAGAATGTTTGCAGGGCTGGCCTGTGGCTCACTCAGGAGAGTGTGGTGCTGATAACACCAAGGCCATGGGTTCAGATCCTGTATAGGGATGGCCAGTTAGCTCACTGGCTGAGCGTGGTGCTGACAACATCAAGCCAAGGGTTAAGATCCCCTTACCGGTCATCTTTAAAAAAAAAAAAGAGAGAGAAGAGAATGTTTGCTAAAATCAAGCTTTTGTTGGTGGATTGACTTAACTTCTTACAAATTGCATTATGGAATGTCACCTTGCTTTTCTTGCTGAATGTTACCAGCTTCTATTGTTAAACTTCTTAAACTATACTTAGCAAAAACCCCACCCATGTTCACCCATGTTCTCTTCCTGAAACTTCCTGGTCTGGAGAATAAATGCGGGAAGAGAGCCCCAATTTGGGTTTAATTTCCCAAATGGAAGGAATACCTTGCTCTTGAGGGTTCCAGGAGATTAACCCCTTTCAGGGCTTCTCACTGCTCAGAAGAGATGGGCTTTGAGTAATCTTTTGCGGCTCCGTCACCCAGGGGAAAGGAGGGTAACAAATCTGTGGGAGGCAAAGCAACACTCTCCTGAAAATAAAAGTCAGATTAACGAGAGAAAAACAAAAATTTTTATTTTTAACTCATGTGAGAAAGGCCTCAGTTCAAAAGGATCTCTCCCTGCAGTGGCTTAGGGACTTTGCTCAAGTAGTATTTTTTTTTTTTTTTAAAGATGACTGGTAAGGGGATCTTAACCCTTGACTTGGTGTTATCAGCACCACACTCTCCCAAGTGAGCCACGGGCTGGCCCCTGAAATAGTATCTTAACAAAGAGCCATAGATCATAGAAGTGATGGGACAAGAAGATGAGTTTCAGGCTTCCAAAGGGCAGGGGACTGAAGGAGGGTAAACGTGTAAGTTTAGAAAAGTAAATCCATTCCTAGACTCTCCTAGCCCTGCTGTCACCAGGCTCTGAGCTGATAAGAGCCCAGAGCCGTCTCCAGGAAATACAACTTATGTCTCTGTCTCTAGGTGGGAAAGGGGGAGGGAGAAAGTTTGTTTGCCTTTGTGAATCACTGTCCTGCCATCAGGCCAGCATAAGAAGCGACAGAGGAAAGGGCAGACAGGCCCTGTATTCTAATCTCCTTAGCTCAGCAGTCCTCAGTGTCGTACAGAGGAATATTTTGGCTTCCCAAGAGCCACAGCCAACCCAAGAGCCCTGCACCTCTTGAAGCTTACAGGACTTCCAATCTCAGGCATCCTAGTGTGGCTGCCATGGCCACCAACTGGCCAGTGATGGGCCTTGTCCTCCCAGCTCTGGCCAACGGAGTGTCCGCCACCTCTCCCCCTCCCTGCTTGTGTCTGCAGGGGCAGTTAACAGGGGCCCTGTAGGATGTCCCCAGGCAGTTGACAGGGCCTCGGTGGCCAGGGTCCTCTGGATGTGTCTTCAAGCATGGATAAAGCGGTGGCTTGCAGAGCCAGTTTGGCACTTCCAGGGAGGGACACACTTGGGAATTAGCATCCTTTTGGTCACACAAAGTTCAGTGAATTCCCACTGCCTTTGCAAGACAAGCAGGCGGGGCTTTTACTCCAGTTAGCCCATAAGGACTGTGGGGGAGGATTCACTGCTTGGGTGGGGCACAATCCTGGATGAGGACCCGTGCCTCTCGGGCTGACCCTTCATCTCCTGTCCACCCCTGCCTGGAGGTGGCCAACTGGAGCACTCCTCCAGGAGGTCCTGGTCCAAAGCCAGGAACCACGGTGCTGGCTCTCCCGCTGGCAGAGGAAGAGGAGGGCAGGTGGGCAGGAGATGTGTCAACCCTGAAACCTCTGCTCTTCCAGGGGGTAGGCAACTTGTATGGCCTCTTAGTGATGCCTGGGAGGAAATTTAGATCATTCCGCAGCCTGAGGAGGTAGGGATGCTCTGCAGCTGTTGGTTCCTTTTGCACAGATTCCCCTTTCCCGAGTCCTCCTCAGGAGAGCCACGAGCCCTCCTCCCCCTACCGTTCCCCTCCTCCTCCCCACGACCCTGCCCGCCTCCCTAACCCTCTGCCTTCTCCCCAGGAAGGGCGGTGTCCTGGAAGGCCCCACTGGATTCTTCAGGAACTCGCATCCCGGGCAGGTGGAGTTTTCTGGCCTGTCAGATTCGTTGTCTTGTCTAATGACTTTCTCTTGCTAATAACTTCCATGTGTTATTTTGCTGATGACTTCTCCAGCTCTTTACCCTCCTAATAACCCACTTCCAGAAACCAGTTTGGAGGGGCAGGCAATGAATTAAAACAAAAACAAAACTCCTCAATTCCTCTGCATTTCTGCTTAACATTTTGTAGTTAGCAAACCTCCCTTGCATAAGCCCAAACCATCTAGGGAGTTTCAGAAACAGAATCCTCTCCCTCCTTAGACATCAGCCCCCCATCTCCTCTGACCAGCAGACCAAGGCTTCTGTGCCATACAGCCCTGCTCTAGGACCCACCCCATCCAGGCTGTGTGTATGTGTATGTGTGTGTCTGTGTGTGTGTGTCTGTGTCTGTGTGTCTGTATGTGTATTTCTGTGTGTGTTTCTGTGTGTGTCTCTCTGTGTGTATGTCTGTGTGTGTCTATGTGTATGTGTGTCTGTGTGTGTGTGAGTGTGTGTGTGTGTGTATGTCTCTGTGTCTCTCTGTGCTCCTCACCACCCCCCGCAATTTCCCAGCAGGACAAATGCTACTCAGCCCCCACCCCGGGGGAGGCCTCCAGAGCCCCTCCTGATCACCCAGGCCTCCCAGTTCTGCCAACAGCCCGTTAGAAGGAAGGAGTCTGACCAGCAGCAAAAGGCACAGAAAGGTTTTCCCAGCACAGCCTTGACTGCAGGACAGACACAGCCCCGGTTGTCTCCTCTTTCTCTGGGCCTGCACAGCTGGCGTCTGTAGAGGATTTAGTGACCGGCATTTCCCTGCCCCCAACTTGTCGCTAAAGTGCATTCTCATGGTGCCGGGGGTGGGGGGTGTAATTGGGGGTCCCAGGTGGGACAGTGGGGTGGTAGGTGGTAGTTGAGGGTGGGGTAGGTGGGGCTGGTCCTGCATCACCTGCAGGGACTGTCCTCAGCACCAGCTGCATGGCCATCCTGACTCCCCAGTGGCCAGCACTGTCACTCAAGGGTGTGCCAGCTGGCTGCCTGTCCACATGCCCTGGTGGGCCTCCAGCAGGCCCTGGGACTGGTGACACTGTTCAGAAAGAGGTTGGGGTGGGAGCTGCACAGTTCCACACTGTGGGAGAGGAAACAACTTATGACCAACATAAGTGCCCCTCCAGGGTCGAGCCAGCGCATGAGTTAGGAAGTGCTTACAATTTACTCAAATGTTCCGGAAGGCTGACAGGCTGGCTTCTGTCCAAAGGCGAAGTTGCCCCAGGATTGGGGAGTATCTGGCTAAGGATGAGAAGCAGGAGCAGAGGCAGGAGCGAGCGGAGGACGAGCAGGCCCTCTTCGGCCTGGAGCCCAGGTCTGCGTGGATCTTCCCTCTGGGCTTGCAGGGAGTCAAGGAGAGGGATCTCAGGGACATGGTGGGCCCTGCCAGTGGCCCTGCATGTGCCTGGGCCCTGAGTTTCCAGAGCAGGAAAACTGTACACTGGGAAGAGGTGCTGAAGTGGTTGGACACGGGGTGCGGGGACACTCGGGAAAGGACATTCTCCCCACAATGGTGGGGCTGGGCTGACACTTGAGCAGGGAGTGGCAGAAGGACCATGGGATATGGGTTTAAATCCCACAACTCACCAGGTAAGTTACTTCAACTCTCTCAGCCTGGGCTTCCATATCTGTAAGAGTGGGAGATTAATACCCACCCAAGGGTGTTTGTGATGAGTAAATGGGGTAACAATTGTGCAGGCACCCAGCATCGTGCTTGGTCCAAAATTAGTGCATGATGAATGCTAGTGTGGTTTTCATTACATTCTTCCACCCATTCATCCATCTATCCACCCACCTATCCATCCTTCCATCCATCTGTCCATCCACCCACCCACCAGTCCATCTATCCACCCACACACCTGTCCATCCATCCATCCATTCATCCATCCATCTGTCCGTCTATCCATCTGCCCATCCGTTCAACCATCCATGCATCTCCTCATTCCAGGAAAAAGATCCGAAGCACAGCTGACTGACTAGCACACTAGTAAGAGTAGAACGCACATCCAAAACATTTCAGGAGAAACCAGTTTCCACGAACAGCATTTGGGACCTAGTTCCTTTCATCACAAAATTTCTCATTATTGTCTAAACCTCCCTTCCTTCCCCCCAGCCCCAGGCCCCTCAATCCTCAACTTCAAACGTGGTCCTCCGGAAACAATGAGGTCTGGTTTCCCTGGTCTCTTTTTGTGTCTTTCCAGTTGCCCTGTACAACTTTTCTTTCTGGACTCCTCCTCTTGTTTTCAGAGAAATTTTCTTCCCTAAAGCCAACTTCAATGGCTGGATGTCTTATTTATCAGCCTTTAACCATTTTATGTCTCTAAAAGGTATTTTTAAACAATGGAAATAGATATGCCAACATGTCAACAGTGAGTGTCTCTGGATAATGGGACTTCTTTTAATTTAGCTGTCTTTCCTAAAAATTACATGAGTTTTGTAATTGGAAAAATTGTAATATTTAAAAATGACATTTTATAGAAGTTTTTATTTCAATTTCTATTACCTCTCCCCTCCCCTGCCAAAGCTTTTTTCCCTATTTTGCCAACTTTTGCAATATTTTTAGCCTGTTGATTGAAGGAGTTTTATGCCGATAAGTTCAAGGTGATAGGGACCTTTCTATCTTCAAGTCAGAAAAGGAAGACCTTCAGGGAAAATCCATTTTCTGCAGAAATAGAGATGACCCTGCCTCTAATCCCAGCAGTCTGCATTTCTCTGTCATCTCTGTGAGGCTGATGGGTGAGCCCAGGCAGAAGTAGGTGGCACCTGGAAGTGAGAAGGATTACTCTCTTGTTATGTTGTATGTGGTCATTAGACCTCTATTTGCCAATACAGCAAGATAATAGCAGCCAGAATAAAGAATGCATTTAACATAAAAAATCAAAAAGCTGGACGAAAAGATTTGGGGAGATACTGTTACCATGCACAGGTCCCACTGTCTACCTCCTTTCAAAAAAAAAAACAAACAAAAAAAACCCTCAAAAGTCAAATGTTGGTGAGAATGGAAGTCAGCTTTTATTCAGGAATACTGGTAAACCTGAGGAGAGACGTTGGGCTAACCCATCTAAACCTGGAGGAGAACGGCCAGGCAAAAGCCATCTCCAAGACTCAGATTTACTGAAGGCTTTTTATTTTTATTTTTTCCTTTTTGTCTTTTTTTGTGTCCGGCAACGGATCGCAACCCTCAGTGTCACGCCCATACTGGACCGGGACTGGCAACAGGACCGCAACCCTCGGTGTTGCTCCCACACCTCGCTCAGCCAGTGAGCAGGAACCGGTCTGTATGTGGGATCCGAACCCTCGGCAGGAGTGCCACCGCACTCCCAAGCGGCGCACTGTAGCAGTGCGCCACCGGGCCGGCCCTACTGAAGGCTTTTTAAAGAGGGGATTGAGGGAATGGAATGAGGGAAATGTGAAGCATACTGAATTAGCCTCATTATCTAAAAATTGCATAATCAAAGATCATTCTGTTTTTGGCTGGGTTTATAACTTTCATCACAAAACCTGTTATCTCAGGGTCTGGGTAGTACATGCAAGTCTAAAGCTCCAGGCTGGCTGGAAAACAACTTTACATTCATGTAAATCATGTCATCTTGCCCCATAACCAAGGTTCAAAATATCAAATAACCATGGAAAAGAGGGTACTCAGAGAAATGCACGCCAAGAAAAAAACTGTGTCCTTTAAAATCTGCCTACAGCTCATGAGGTTTTAGGTCCCGACATGGCTTCAGTCCTGCTCACTCCAACAGTACTTCACAAAGGAAGGTACGTATCTTCTCCTTCTCTGGGCCTCCCTCCGCAGACGATGTGTAGAGGATTTATGGGGATGAAAAGATGCTCTACATCAGTTAGTTATTAGAATGGCCCGAATTAAAAAGATTAACAATACCAAGTGTTGGCAAGGATGTGGAGCAAACGAAATACTCACATATTGCTGGTGGGAGTGTGAAATGGTACAACCAGTTTGGAAAGGTGTTTGGCAGTTTCTTCTAACCTTAAATATACACTTACCATGTGAGTCATTAATTCCACTCCTCGATATTTATCAGGAATGAAAACTTATGTCTCCACAAAGACTCTTGCACAGATTTTCATAGAAGCTCTATTTATAATGGCGCAAAACAGCCCAAATGTTCACCTGGTGAGTGGATAAATAAAATGAGATATAAATAAAATTAAATACTACTCAGCCATAAAAAGAAACAGACCGCTGAATCACAAGTAACATAAGTGAATCTCAAAAACGTAATTGCTGAATCAAAAAGTCAGCCACAAAAGAGTACAAAACACATGATTTCATTTATATGAAACTTTACAAAAGGCAAAATTGGTTGACAGTGACAAAAAGCAGGTCAGTGGTTTTCTGGAACAAAGTGTGGAGAGGGGATCAAACGCCAAGGGGGAGCTTTGTGGGGTGATTGAAACTTTCTATATTTTTATGCAGGTGGTGGTTACGTGGGTGTGTACATTTGTCAAAACTCATCAAACTATACTGTTAACATAGACATATTTTATTGTATGTAAATTATACTTCAATAGAGTTGATTAAAACTCAAAAGAGGAAAACTAGGAGAGAATACAGTTGAATATCAAAACTCTGTAGAAGGTAGGATACTCCAACCTCAGAGAACTAGACAAAACCATAAAGGAAAGTATGGATAGGTGATAAATAAAATTGAAAACTATGTGAAAAAATTTTAAGATTAAATAAAATGTGACATAAAATATTTGGAATGATTGTTTAATGGGTACAGGGTTTTGGTTTGGTGTGATAAAAAAATTCTAGAACCAGGTGGTGGTAACGCCTGAACAATATTGTCAATGTAATTCATTTTTGTCACCGAATTGTACACTTTAAAATGGTTTAAATGTTAAATTTTATGTTATGTGTATTTTACCACAATATAAGAATATTTGCTAACTTCTCACAACATATAAAAGTGTTTGCGAATGACACATGAGACAAGGGGCTAATATCCAGAATACATAAAGAACTCAAAGAACTCAAGAGCAAAAAACCAAATAACCCAATTTAAAAATGGGCAAAGGACCTGAATAGACATTTCTCAAAAGAAGACAAACAAATGGCCACCAGGCACATGAAAAAATGCTCAACATCACTAATTATCAAGGAAATGCAAATTAAAACCACAATGAGATATCATTTCACCCCAGTTAGAACAGGTATTATCAACAAGACAGAAAATAACAAATGCTGGAGAGGATGCAGAGAAAAAGGAACTCTTATACATTGCTGGTGGGAATGTAAATTGGTACAGTCGTGATGGAAAACAGTATGGAGTTTCCCCGGAGAATCAGAAATAGATCTACCTTACCACCCAGCCATCCCACTACTGGTTATATACCTAAAGGAAGTGAAACCAATATATCAAAAAGACACCTGCACTCCCATGTTCATTACAGCACTATTCACAATAGCCAAGAGAGGAATCAACTTAAATGCCCATCAACAGATGAACAGATAAAAAACGGTGGTATGTATAAAAAGAAATGATAGCCTATTGAGACAAGAGGTGCTCAGTCCCGCTGGGTTCAGGTTTTGGGCCACTTCCCTGGGTCTCAAGCCCCTCCCCTAGGACTCAATCCCCTCTGAAACCTGAGCTAATGTTGCTTGTAGCACCTATTTTTGGCACAAGTGCAGGGAGATTGAGACCACAGGAGGCAGACTTGTATAATCTCAGTGGCTGAGCATGCTCAGTAAAAAGGAGTTTATCCCTTGAATGACCTCCCACTGGAAGCCCTAGAGAGCACCTAGAATACTAAATATATTTGGTGCATGTGATGGAACTTGACCAATGAGCATGCTCCAAAGTGACCAACTGAGCATGTGCAAAACGATGTTACATAACTGGGGACCACCCCCTTAGTTGAATATTCATTAGATAGCATGAATATGTATAGATAGCCAGGCTATAAGAGCAGAATTCAAGAAGAAGGCAGGGCTGTTGCTCACTCTCTCTGGAGCCAGCCTGCACTTCGCCTGTGAGGTGTGTGTACTTTATTTCCTGTGTTAAACTTGCCTTTAGCAAGCTGCTGTTCGCTCTGGAGCCAGCCTGCACTTTGTGCACGTGTATTCCTAACTTTTTCATTAAACTTGCTGCAGCTGCTGCTCACTCCCTTGAGCCAGCCAGGTAAGGAGTAAATTAGTAAAGAGTCTATTATGACTCTGCTGTTGAGCTTTTTCCTGTGGCAGAGCCAAGACCTTGGTAGAGGATGGGGGGGTTGAGATTGGCCATCGGGCCTCCCAGACCGTCTCCTCTGGTATCACTATCATTTGCAGCAACATGGATGGAACTGCAAACCATCAATGTTAAGTAAAGTCAGTCAGGCACAGAAAGACAAATGCCACATGATCTCA